TATATATATATATATATATATATATATATATATATATATATATATATATATATATATATACATATAAAAGCTTAAATTGTAATAAAAACAGTTAAATTAATTTATCCTAAAAAATAAAATGAGATGGGATCGAGAGGGAGAGGGATGGAGTAAAATCAGGTATCCGTTCTTTCTTTCTACAACAGTCGGCAAAGAACAGAAGAACCGCGAGATCTTCCCTGTTCCGAAGCTCCCGCCATTGCAGAATCTTCAATAATGCGATCTCAAGTTTTCATTCTCTTGCTTTCACTCCAATTATTCTTCTCTCTGTTATCTCCATCGCATGCGATTTCCCCTGGGTAGGTCTCAGTCCTTGTCTTTAATTCACCGCGACTTTGTGCTCGACTCGTCAGGAACATGAATTGATGAAGATTGAAAGTGATGATCGACGATTCCGTGGAACTAGAATGCGTCATTATTACTTCCTATTGTCTTTTAATCTCGTTGTTGCATTCTGCAGGTCCGGCGATGGATACACTATCTATGGTCGGGTGAAAATTTCAAGTACGTTTCTTCTTTTTCTTATTCTACAAGTTGCGAATGTTTTTTGATATTGAGCTTCGAGATAGTTGTAGATTTGTTACTTCTTTTTGTAACTAAAAGAAAGTTATTCATTGGAAAACGAGAATTACAGAAGCGAAGTGAAGTGAAGATATCTGAACCTAATATGGAGGAGATTAAAAATATTCTTCAGTTGGTATTGATAATTACCAGAAGTACTTCTTAGTTTGGCAATGGAAGAAATACTATCTTACGACAGACCAAAATTCTACAAGTTTTGAATAATTACCAGAATCTTTTTCCTAATGACCTAAATTTAAATTACTCTGAATCTTTCCTGCTATAGGTTACAAAAGTCCTTACTTCTAGGGTCTCCTGGAAGGTTAAGGTATAAGTTGTGAGCCAAAGAACTGCAGCATGACCATAGGACTAAGCAAGATTATCCACTTTATCCTTAATATAAATTATTTCCCTCCACCATGTAGTCGAGGTCTCCACATGAAAATAGTGATGCTGCTTTGATAATTCTGGAATATATTATCTGCATCTGGGTAGTCGGGTTAGCATAGATTTGAAACGAGGAAAAAAGATTTGCAGACCCCTACTTACTATTGTTGGTCCTCATAAAGCTCTCCTTTTGGAGGAGAGGCAACACAACTATGTTTCTTCACCCCTTCACATGAGGCATGTACGCACCTACTTTTTACTTAGCATTTTCCTCTTGCTTTTGTCCATATTGAATCCCTAGGGGTGACTAGTTTGTTAGAAAAACCTATCCGTATTACAGTTCTGCATTATGAAGATGAAAGCGTTCAAAATTAATGTTATATTTGCTTGAGATTCTATGTTTAGATGATTGTCGTTGTACTATGAACTAATGCCTACTGTTGAATTTTTGGCAGGGAACGCACTTAAAGAATATGGACTTCCTGGAAAAATATCAAACATTAAAGTCATACTTAATGGTGGACAAAGAGTTACCTTCCTGAGGCCCGATGGATATTTTTCATTGTATCCTTTTTATGTTTTTAGTTAATTTAAAATGCTTAAAGTTAACGAGTTTTATTACTTTTCGGCGTATTTCCACACAGGATTTAATTTTCTGCTATGCTCTTTTTGGGACTCAAATGATATGTACGGATCATTTATATAATCCTCAACTGGATGTAGCATTTGATTTTATTTTGTTCTTTGCTTCCTAGTGGTTAATGTTATCATTATTTTGGAGAGTTAAGCTAAAAAATTTGGCCTCCCAATTTTCTGAGGTTTCTGTAATTCCTTAACTTCAGTTCTTACAGCTATAATGTGCCAGCAGGAACCCATCTGCTTGAAGTGGCTGCATTGGGCTATTTCTTTTCTCCCGTGGGTTTTCTTTGGTATCAGTTTTTCTACAAATCTGGTTTCATGTGACTTTTTTTTTCATTTTCTATTCATTCCTTAGGTTCGAGTTGATGTGAGTGCCAGAAACCCAGGTAAGGTTCAGGCAGCCCTAACAGAGAACAGGCGGGCATTGAGTGAGCTTGTTTTAGAGCCTTTAAGGGATGAAGAGTATTATGAGGTTGGTTTAACATAAGCTTCTCCTTTTCTTTTTTTTCCTTTTTAACCCACTTTCTAAGGACTATAAGTTATTGAATTTTATTTTGGATCTCACATTATTACTCAATCTCTTTGTATTATAGACTCGGGAACCCTTCTCCATAATGTCTGTTGTGAAAAGTCCTATGGGTCTGATGGTGGGATTCATGCTAATTGTTGTATTCCTGATGCCCAAGTTAATGGAGAACATAGGTACGTACTCATTTGCTCATCAGACAGTCGTCACTGTTTCACATTCTATTTATGCTTCTAAACCTTTTACTGAATGGCAAATTCTTGTGCTGCTAATAGTTCTTTCTTCCTTTATATTATGAACTTTTTTGTGTTCATTTGGTCCCTAAATTTTCAAGTGTTCAATAGTCAAAACTTTCATTTAATGTCTGCAGGAACCTAAGTTATCAATTAATTTTGTATCGAGTAGATTCATGGATTTCAAAAGATATTAAATAGGTCAATTACCTCTTAAGCACAAAATTTTAAATTTAAGGATCAATTGGACACAAAATTGAAGTTCAAGGATATTATTAAATTTTTTTTTTTTTAAGTTCGGGATCTTGGTGGACACAAAATTGAAATTTCATGGATATATTAAATACCTTTGAAAATTTAGAGACCAATAGATACAGACTTGAAAGTTTGGGGACTAATCTCGTCATTTAACCTATTATCGTGTTTTTATTCCATCTTGAGAATATATAGGGTAAGCTGTATTATTTTCATATACAAAGGGTTCTATGTCAATTCTCTCTTTGAAATTTCTTTGGCAATGTGTTGATGAAAAATTCTTCCAACGTTTCCACTTTGCACGGGACTTGGCAATGCCATTTCAATTTTATTACTTTAATAGATGAGATTTTCTCATGCCAAATCTCTTGTTGAAAGTTATGTTGCTAATTGCTTGTCCTTTTGATTAAATTGCACCTTCATTCGATTCATCATAAAAAATCAAACGAGGAAAGTTCATTTTGTTGGTTCCATTCCCAATCAGTTAAATTTCCAAATAGAAATGTCTTGATCGAATTCAATTCTTTCATAAATTAATGACTGTCTTTCTACCCCCCAAACCCCCAAAATAAAGGATGATTCTGTCTCTAACTGCGTGATTTTGCGATATTCTGATGATCAGATCCTGAAGAAATGAGGAGAGCACAAGAAGAAATGAGGAACCAAGGCGTCCCAACTTTATCAAGCTTGCTACCCGGGGCTGGCCAGAGCAGCTAAAAGGATCGATTTCGATATCAATATTGACATCGACTACATCCCCAGCTCAAACGCATCTGACTCCTGCCGGGACTCGGGATTTCTAACAGTTGAAGCAAATGAGCGTAATATTCTAGTTTCTCTGATGTTGCCATTCTGAGAAATCATTTCAATTAGGTATTACTTTGATCTGGATTTCATTATTATTCTTAACGAGTCTCTTAGCAGAGTTATGTAAACGACCATCATATTTGTTACCCAATTGGGACTCAACATTATTTTGATAGTTCAGTTTTAATATTTCTTCATATTTCACCTTATCCAAACACAGCCAGTCTCTCTCGATGTTTATCGTGTCTGCCGGTTACAACCCCAGATAGCTACGTTATGGTCGTCAAATTCATGAAACGCTAGATCTCTGTTGTCTATTGTTTGTCGAATTGAATGACTCAATTCGTTCCAACCTAAAATATAAGGGATGGGGTGAATTAAATTGTCCTCTATAATCGAGTTACTCATTTTCCTAACTTGACCCGACTCAAAGATCTGTGCGTTCCAATCCAAATTATAAGGGATGAGTTGAATTGAGTTGTCCTCTATAATCGATTTACTCATTTTCCTATCCTGACTCAACTCAAGAGTATCCATGCGTTTCAACTCAAAATATAAGGGATGTGTTAGAATTAAGTTGTTTAATATAATCGAGTTATTAATTCTTCTAACTTGATCTGACTCAAGAGGATCCGTGCATTCCAAAATATAATGGATGAGTTGAATCAAGTTGTCTTCTATAATCTCTTTTAACGACTCAAGAGGATCCATGTAAAAAAGTGAGTCCGGAAAAAGTTCCATGAAGAAAAGGCGAACCTAAGAAATGTGCGAGTCAACTCGTGAGTTAAAAGTCCGAGTTCACAATCGCGGATAACGTATTAAACCGGCGCCAGAACCAGAAGAAAGGCATACGGGGCAGCGACAAAATCCAATAACTGAGCAAAAATGGCTTCCCTCCTTAAGTTCTACAACCCATTATCGTTCACTCGATGCTCCCCAGTTTCAATCTCTCAGGCGATTTTCCGCAGAGCTCACCGCCATTCTCATTTTCCATTCTTCAAGCCTGCGAGATGTTTCGCTTGTTTCACTTCTTCTCCGAGCTCATCTCAGCACCCCCTCAGTGCGCAGAATCACAAAGAAATCGGCGGCGTTAGACACGAGAGTCCATCGTCGGAACTGTGGCTGCACAATACAATGAGTAGGAAGAAGGAGGTATTCAAGCCCAAGGTAGAAGGTAAAGTAGGCATGTACGTGTGCGGTGTCACTGCCTATGATCTCAGCCATATCGGCCATGCGCGTGTTTATGTTACATTCGATGTTCTCTACAGGTAGTTTCTCTTTCTAGGTTTTGCCTGATTTTTTTTTTTTTTTTCCCCTCAATTAGACACTCGTGACTGCTGGGAGAATAGACTGGTAAACTAATTTACCATTTTATTTGTCTGGAAATGATGATTTAATGTTCTTTTTTTTTCCCGTTTTTGTAATGATTTGGTAGTCTGTGTTGAATTGTTACCAGATATTTGAGGCATTTGGGATACGAAGTTCTTTATGTTCGCAATTTCACCGATGTGGATGACAAAGTGAGTGAATTTGCTAAAATGGTGCCATTTATTTAACAAACTGCATTTTTCCTTGCTTAAATTGTTGCCTCCCTTGCACGTACTTTGCCTCTTCCTTCTAGGGAGTGAGATTAATAATACCAGATGTGCTGTAGCGATGGCTTTACTTTTCTTTGCTCATAAATATTTAACGGGTGTATCTATCTAAATGAGGTTATTGAATACTGCAATTGGTTGCTGAATTGGAGTGCCTAATGAAGTTTAATTTTCAGGAAGAACATATATGTAAATAATGATCGAGGTACAAAATTTATGGGATTAAGTCTCTGCTTTGTGCTAGTGAATGAAAATGCATTATGAATTTGAGTTACTTTCTATGGTTTCTTTCATTGTTGCTATCACATGGCTCCTAGTTTCATAAGAAGTCGGTCGTTACAATTCCACCATCCTTCAGTAAAGAGGGCTACATTTCTCAGCTTAGAGTATACCTAAACCACTATTCCTCAACAATGAAAGAATTTTCCCCTAAGATTTACGGAGAAGACTTAACCAACATATTAGCGATCTTGGATATAAGGAGGAGACTGCTTTTAAGTGTGATTTTTCCTATGGTGATCCAACCGTGAACCCCCTTCCATTTCTCGAATTTAAAGAAATGTTTATTTGACTTTTTTTTCCTCCCATTTCCATGCTTTTCCTCCATTGGATAAGTGTTTTCTCGTCAAATGTAACTTGTTTCAGTCTATCTTCCTAGTTGCTAAATCCTACATCTCAGTTGATATATTCTCATTGTCAGTTTTGTTCCATGTAGCGAACTGGAACCTTTTGCCCTTGTTTTAATGCTTGATCGTATGATGTTTTTTTTTTTTTAAATGTTGGTACCAACTTTTTTTCACAATGCTATGACAGGATCCTGAGTCTGCACTTTTCAAATTCTGTAGATAATTGCTAGAGCAAATGAGTTGGGGGAAGATCCGCTTGATTTAAGTAGACGTTACTGTGAAGAATTCGGTCAGGATATGAGGTATCTTCATTGCTTGTCTCCTTCAGTTGAACCCCGAGTTTCGGACCACATGCCCCAGATCATTGACATGATAAAGCAGGTAAATTTTTTCTTTATTGGTCGTCCTCATTTGATAGAAGCTATCAGGCAATCATATTATCTTGATTTTCGCCATAAAACCATCTTTTGTTTTAGTAAGTACATATTGTTCACTTATTGACTTCTTTTATGCTCTGTGTGTGTCTTACTTGTCTTACACTTGATTCTAGTAGGGGAGGGAGGTATGTGTGTGTGACAAGTCATTAAGTGTTTCTCTTGTGTCTTGACAGATTCTTGATAATGGGTATGCCTATCGTGTCGATGGTGATGTGTACTTTAATGTGGACAAATTTCCAGAATATGGCCTATTGTCGGGGCGAAAATTAGAGGATAATCGAGCTGGAGAGCGGGTTGCTGTGGACTCCAGGAAGAAAAACCCGGCTGATTTTGCTTTATGGAAGGTCAATCTGGTTGCTTTGTATTATTGTTAAGTGTTGCATGCATAGCATCAATCAATGAGATTCACTAAATGAAAGGGTTGGATAAATCTTAGGTACAGTTCAATTGCCTTATCGGTGTAACCGAAAAAGATAAGCACAAAACTTTAAAATTGTATGATAGTTCGTCTTACTTATCGTTCACAAATGTGTCCTGTTTATGTATTATTGTTGAAGTCCTGTGATATCTTGCAGTCTGCAAAGGAGGGGGAACCATTTTGGGCAAGTCCCTGGGGTCCTGGGAGGCCTGGATGGCATATAGAGTGCAGTGCCATGAGTGCAGCTTATCTAGGGTATTCTTTTGATATACATGGTGGAGGGATGGATCTTGTCTTTCCCCACCATGAAAACGAAATAGCTCAGAGCTGTGCCGCTTGCAGAACGAGTAATATAAGCTACTGGGTCCATAATGGTTTTGTGACTATTGACTCGGAGAAAATGTCTAAATCTCTTGGGAACTTTTTCACCATTCGGCAGGTAGACCTCGAATTTTTTTCATTTAGACTTCCCCTTCTATCACGTATTTCGTAATCGGGTCCATAACATAACTATAAATTTCCAGGTCATAGATCTTTACCATCCACTGGCTTTGAGGCTTTTTTTGTTGGGGACACATTATCGTTCTCCAATCAACTACTCTGATTTACTGCTCGAAAGTGCTTCGGATCGCATTTTTTACATCTATCAGGTACTACGGCATACAGTTTTTCATGATGAGAAATTATAGTTATACAGCCGTTGCCACTGCTATCATGACTAAGTAGACGCTTCCAAGAACAGGCGTAGCCAATGCACATAGATGCTCAGATGTCTTTTATCTTAGAAATCAATATCTTTTTAATTCCACTGAATTTTAATGGTTGCAGACTCTTGATGACTGTAGAACTGTTATTAGCCAGCAAGATGAATCAAGTTTGAAGAGTTCCATCCCTCCGAGTTTGGTGGAAGAAATCAACAAATTCTACAACGTTTTCCTGACCTCGATGTCCGATGATATTCACACGCCTGTGGTTTTGGCAGCGTTATCGGATCCTTTGAAAATTATCAATGATTTGTTGCATACTCGCAAGGTATTGGATATAAGTCTAGCTCAATTTTATCTGATAATGTCAATGGTTAGCTTTATGAGTATATAGTACAGCTTCTCGTATAGAAAACATGCTTATCTTAGGCGAACCTGTGTTTAATTCACCATTATCTTTTGGTTGACATTGCGGTATGTAGTGGTCCAAGCCCACCGCTGGCAGATATTGTCCCTTTTGAGTTTTCCCTTTCGAGCTTCCCTTCAAGATTTTTTAAAATGCGTCTGCTAGGGAGAGGTTTTCACACTCCTATAAAAAATGTTTCGTTCTCCTTCCCAACCGATGTGGGATCTCACAATCCACCCCCCTTTGGGGCCCAGCATTCTCATTGGCACTCGTTCCCTTCTCCAATCGATGTGGGACCCCCCAATCCACCCCCTTCGAGATCCAGCGCCCTTGCTAGCACACCGCTTCATATCCACCCTCCTTCGGGGTTCAGCCTCCTCGCTGGCACATTGCTCGATGTTGATATCATTTGAAACAGCGAAAGCCCACCACTAACATGTATTGTCCTTTTTGGACTTTTCCTTATGGTTTTCTCTCAACAACGCGTCTGCTAGTGGGAGGATTCTACATGGTTGTCATCTACGGAGATTCACTTATTTATTTTATTTATCTAAAAAAATTTATGAGCTTATATCTTAGTTTAAGACAACCTGAAAGCAAAACGGTTAATATACACCAATGATGATGCTGCTTTGACATATGTTTCTTTTCTTTGTAACATGTGTAATTCAAATCCATACAGGGAAAGAAGCAGGAATCTCGAATGGAATCTCTTGCAGCTCTGGAGAAGATGATAGGAAATGTGTTGTCCATCTTAGGGCTGATGCCTGCAAGTTACTCCGAGGTAGAAACCGATTGGTGTCACTGTAATTCAATCTTGGGGACTTCTGTATTTATAGGACTTCAAAATATAAATAAATCTCTTAGAACAAGCGGGTGGCGGGTGGCGGGTGGAGATTTGAATCTCCGACCCCAAGTGAAAGAGTAGATCTCAACCTTCAGAAACTGATAACTTAACAGAAATTTCTTGCCTTATTACTCTCTAGCTGTCTTTGGTACGTTTATTTGGAAACAAACTGAACAATTTTGTTGGCATAGGCTCTGCAACAGCTGAAGGAAATGGCTTTAACGCGCGCAAAGATGACGAACGAACAAGTTCTACAGAAGATAGAAGAAAGGAATGCAGCAAGACAGAATAAGGAGTATGAAAAATCTGATACAATCAGGACTGATCTAGCTGCTGTTGGAATTGCTCTAATGGATGGCCCTAATGGAACAACTTGGAGACCAACTGTTCCTATTGCACTTCAAGACCACCACCAGCTTTAGTTTCACTAATTCTCTTAATTTAGTTCAAATTGAACCAAACCGAACCGATATGATGATGTTATTTTGTTCTTAAAAAAGCGCTTACCTTTTAGATTGTGTACGACTCCAAAACTTGAGTGAGATGAGACATTATGCCAAGTTTCTTATTGGAGTAGTTGACAATGTTCTCTTTTCCTTTGGTCGTTCAAATCTGTGTCATGAGTGTGATGCTCATTAATTTCCCTAAATGGCGTGAATAAATTTTTTATATGCTCAAGTACAACAAATTCCAAAATCTATATATAGACTAGTTGAACTATTTTAAATTGACAATACAATACACATCTTATTGTAATATTTCATTTAACAATTTCAATAGAAAATCTAAATATCTTTGTTTAGTAAAAAAGAAAAAAGAAAAAAGAAAGGAAAGGATTCAACTCATAGCTCCAAGACTCCCTCTCCCTTAAATGGAAAACGTCGAACGTCTTAGGGCCAAGTAGTGACCTCGCCCCGAATGACCATAGCATGTTGGAAATAAGGGAGAACATACTGAACGTGATCACTCCCTTGGTTGAGGGTTGTGCCGCCCTACACATCCCTACTTAATGGACGTTCCTTAATTACGAAGTGTGCAGCTTTTCCTTGAATTCGTTCCTTGACAACACTGGTGGTTCACTCCCAAAATAGTGATAAAAAATAAGTTTTCAATGACTCTTGAAGTGGAAAGATATTAATCCATTCATTTTGTGCATCATAAAATAGAATCACTTCAAAGTGTTCTTATACCTCTCAAATTGAAAAAGAAATGGCTGCCTCCATCAATGGTCAGCCAATGTCTTTCCTTCAAGCCTTTTACCTCTCAAATTGCCTCTTCTTGAACTTCTCCTTCCACTTCTCAAACTTTCTTTACATACAAACTTGAATTGATTAAGATATATTCTTTGAACGAAGAATTTAGATAAATCTAGCACATTTTCTTATTTTTGCCAATGAATATGAGATATGGGAAGGAGTGAACATCTTTCTTAGTTGCAGAATTCGAGAAAAGAATGAAAAAAAATATTAGAAAATGTGAGTGAGGTGACTCTGTTGACTTTAATCAACTGGACATTTTCTTGTTGACTTTTCTCCTCAATATAATAGGTCAGAGAATGGACATCTTCAATCTCTACCTATTGTCATTGAACTCGAGTTAGAAAAAAAAAACTCTATGTTTAATGTATATTGAGTAGTTATAAATAATAGAAATTGGTTGTGCGTTCCTTTCATCATAGATAAAATTAAGAGATCAACTTGCTATATATATATATATATATATATATATATTTCTGTGTATTTATTCTTTTCCCCTTCCTCAGAAAATAATAACTTATTTCTGAAAAGCAGAGGAAGAAAAAACAAATTCCCTGTAAATGGCTGTCAGCTTCTTCTCTCTCCTTTCCAAAGGTAGGCATAATAAAATGATTCTCTCTTACACAAATTTATATCTTTTTCAGCCAAAATCATAAATTTTAAAAAGTTTTTAAAATAATATTCTCAAGAAAAGAAAAGAAAAAAAAAAAAAATTGATGGTTCTTTACGTCTCTTCTCTTTTGCCTATCTTTTCTTCTTCTTGATTGAGTGATCCTTTAATCCATTATTCCTTTGAAAATAAATAAATAAAGCATCCTAATCCAAATATATAAGGAATTGATTTGACAATAATTTTAATTTTAACTTTATTTCTACTCTTAAAATGCTCAAAAAAAAATAATTAAGCATTAAAACGGCTTTTAAACACTTAAAAAGTCATTTTACACCAGCTGAAGCAAACAGAAAACGCTTTAGAAAAAGGTTTCTTTGTTACCCAAACCAACAAAAGCTTCAAAAGTTGAAAAAGAAAGATTATAGGGTTCACTAGTTTATTAGTGGGAGGTAGCTTTTTTAAGGCTTTATGTCACCACCTATTAATACTAGCATCAACCTCCACACAGCCTTCCAGACTTTTCTAGCCATGTTTTCATTTATTTATTATTAAACTAATATTAATAGTAATAATAATAATAACCTTTTTCATTTTTGACAAATTTTGATTGTGAATTAATTCATTTATTTAAATAATAATTACCCAAGAAGGAAGTTCAAAAATATTTAAGAAACTAAAACCCAAATTGTAGAATCAAGGGAGTTTGAAATGCTCTATCTATGGCTATGGCAATGGTAAATGGCTAAAAAGAAGGGAGAGTTACAGAATCAGCAATGAATACCAAAATTGCACTCAGGTGGGTTAGTCATCAAACCCACCAGCTTAGCTTAGCCAAGTTGGGGGATCAATGTGTGTGGTTAATGGTGGCTTTCCAATCTATTATGCTGTTCCCCCCCCATCACCTTCACTTATGCATGGGATGGGACCCTTTCATTTAAGTTCAACCCTTTCTCCTCCCAAGTTGCTTGTTCCTACTTACTTACCCACGGTCTTTGCTTTCTCTTTTCTCCAACTTGCTCCTTTTATGAGCTATGAGTCAAGGTTTAAATCTTATTTTGGTCTTATTTTATGAGCTAAGTTGGTCGAGGCTGGGTAATGTAGAGGTCTGGCTAATTCTGATTCCAACTTTCATGAGGAAATGTCATTAAAAACGGATTTTTGTTCAAGTAACTCAACAATTGGCCTGAATCTACTGAGATGTTGGAGGATGGTCCATTGGGTATTACAAAGAGTGTGGTTTGGATTTTGGCAGGTTAGGAGAGAGAGAGAGAGAGAGAGAGAGAGAGAGAGAGAAGCTTTTGTGTGTGGGAGATAGAGGGAAAGGAAAGAGAGTAGAGCCATGCATGCAAGAGATAAAGAGAATGTGGGTCTTACCTGTTAAAAGAGAGAGAGAGAGAAAGATTTGGTTGTTGCATGTGAGGAAGAGAAAAAAGAAGGATGGACATGATTGGTGCATGTTACAAAGGAAAGAAAGAGCACTGAAAACTAATGGAAGAGAGAGAGGAAAATGGAGACGAGAAAATAAGTCCACCCCTAGTAGATATTATACGTTACGTATCGTCGTCAGCCGGTTTTTAAAATGCATCCACTAGGAAGAGGTTTCCACGCCCTTATAAGAAATGTTTTGTTTTCCTATCCAACCGAGTGGGATCTCACAATAACAAAAAGTCGAAGGATAATAAAGGAAGAGAGAGATTGGATGTGACATATTCTCTAACTAAACAAGGGGTTAGTTCTCGTTATTCGGGTTTGGTCATGGATTTGGACGGTTTCAATCTTTTAACAAAGACTCACCTACTTCTTGTAACCATACCCCTCAAAGTTACAAAATTGTAGCAATTAAGTGAACGAGAACTTAAATCTTGATGGCTTGGGGGATAATTACGGGAAGTTTAAGGATGCAATTACAACAAATTAGAAGATTTTACTAAGAAACTAAATGCTCAAAGAGAACTTAAATGCAGAATCAATTAGATGCAAAAAAAAGAAAAGAAAAAGTAACAAAAAAATCCCATCACGATTTGCATCTTCCTATTTTTGTTCTCAACTACATAGTGTTCAAAAACAGTCAACCCAAATGAAACATTATGTTGACAGCACATCACACTTAAGACTTGCGTGAGAGTCTTGAATTAATTTTCTTTTTCTTCTAGACCATTATTAATTTAATAATTATTGCCATAATAAACCAATGAGCAAAGCCGTTCAAAATACAGATATGAAGACAGACACTAGCAAACCATAATTTCCAAGAACAAGAAATCATAAAAACAGAGAATTTGGTTTCTAAACTCACTTACCTCAAAAGCACTCCCTTCCGCTATGATCAACCTCTCCGCCATGATTGCAGCAATCCTCATCCTATTCCTAAGTTTCATCAATGAAGGTAACAGTATTTGATTAAAAAACAAAGTCAAAATCAAGAAATCTCTACCTTTAGAGCTTTCTTTCTCTCCCCTTTCTGGGTTTGAGTTGGTGGATTTTGTTGCAGGGTTCGGTGCTGGAAGCTGCAGTTTGGACACCATTAACATAGGAACACAGAGAAGTGGAAGGGTGATTGGGGGCCAACCTGAATGGAACGTGCAAGTGATTAACAACTGCGATTGTCCTCAGAAGCAGATCGTCTTGTCCTGCCCAGGGTTTCAGACTGTTGAACCCGTTGATCCATCGATTGTATCAAAGCAAGGGGACGCTTGCCTGCTCATAAATGGAGGAATTGTTCAGCCTGGTTCTTCAGTTCAATTTTCCTATGCTTGGGATCCCCCTTTCATCTTGTTCCCTCGTTTCTCTGTTTCTCAGTGTCATACCTGAAGCAACAACAAACAATATTAAAAAGTTGTCAATTTAGTCTGAGTTAATCGTGAAGTTGAGGGAAAATTTGAAGATAATCGCTCTTTTTTGAGTTTGAAAAGGATTATAAATCTTGAGGTTGTTTGCTTCGCCTGATTGATATATTAAAGATGGGATGAAACAGCTTCTAATTATTTGATACAAGGAAGGAATTTAACATATATTGCTAACCCTGCTTGAATTTGACAATAGAATCTTCCTTTTTGAAAGATTGATAGATATGAGCAGCTTGTTTAGCTTGCACAGTATGATTTCCCATTCAGGGTCTGCGCCTGTTGGAAAGATGGAGTGTTGTGGGCACAGATAAAACAAGCAATTGCATAATTCGAGCATTATCATCTTAAGCTTCACACTACATGAACATGAACATTTTGTTTTTGGTTAAGCTTAGTTAATGGAGAACTACAAAACAGAACAAGATTGGTTTCATGATCCTAATGAAAGTAAAACACATACACAATCATAAATGTAACTATCCTAATCTCACCGCTAGCAAATATTGTCCGTTTTGACTCGTTTGTGCTTCGTTCTCTTCTCCAACCAATGTGGAATCTCACAATCCACTCCCTCGGAGGCTCAGCGTCATGCTGGCACACTACCCAGTATCTAGCTCTAATATCAACTTGTAACATCCGCTCATCGACCGCTTGATTCACATAATGTTTTGTTTTATGACTGTTTTCGAAGCAAAATATCTATGTCAATGGTAACTCCTATGAATCGAGCTATCGATGAGCGGGTGTTACAAGTTCAAAGTTGTCAATTGGCATGTTGAATGGGCAGTGCAGCAATTCCTTTAGGAGCAGCTTCAATCTGTAAACCCAAACTATATGTTAGACTTAAACGGTAAGTAAAGAGAGAAAAAAAACTTCGGAAGTAGATGATAATCTTGAATATAGATTTAGAAAGCAGCAGGAAACGACTACATACAGAACTTTCAATCTCCATCCATGGTGTACGGATGGTTGCATATAAAGAGGAAGATTTCAATTAGTTTAAGCTAAAATGAACAACAAAAACACAAAAGGAAGCAAACGGAATCGTCATAAAGAATCTCCAGAGGCCAAAATCAAAACAGTAACTCGGTTATCAAAACAGAACGCATTCCAAAATGTACCAAATCAAAGAGCCAAGAGAATCCAAATAAAGCTTCACAGCGGGAAATTCAAAATCACAGTGAATAAGCTGAAGAAGAACCATTCGAACTACATTAAGTTAAAACAACAGTGACTACACCATTAATAAGAAGAATACAACGAATGCTGGAGAATCAACGGCCGTCTGAATCGACTCACCATTAATAATTAGTACGGCGGAGATTTTGCGATGCAGCGTCGCCGGAGAAGTGACGGAAGAATCGATCATCTATACGTTCAACAGAAGATTATGCCATTTGAACTCTAAAAATGCAAAATAGTTCCGATCAGACTCTACAGTTGCAGAGTGAGAGTAAAAAATCGTAGCCATTTTTGCTCCGTGTTCTGATGTGTTCTTCGATTTTTCCCTCCATAAGTGACAGATTCTATCTGTCGGTAATTCTGAAAATTCCTGAAAAAGGGAAAAACAATAATCCTGCGACTTGGGCCGAACCTGAAAACTTTGTGCTAATGGGCTCGCAATTGGGCCCATTTAACTGATACAAGTGTAATTATGGGAATAAAAAAAATCGGAATTTAATATAACTCCAAAAATGACTAAAATCTAATATATTTTACAAATATAGTTAATCCCAAGTTTTTAACAGAATCTTGTAATTTTATTATGACGAAAATGCCCTCGGGTGAATATATATTATAAATTATTCAAAATAAATATTTAAAATATATATAGAAAAACATTGTCTTTTTAAGTCTTAAATATTTATTTTGAATAATTTATAATATATATTCACCCGAGGGTATTTTCGTCCTAATAAAATTAAAACTCAATCAAGATAAAAATTTGAAGGCAGTGAAATCCAAACGGCATTTTATGAAGCTTGAAGATAAAACCCATGTCGAGAGTCTATCAGTTATAACTTAAAGTGAATGATAAGTAGGGGTCGAGATTGGAGGTGGGCTCAAATTTTGAGCTATAAATGACATCTTTCTCCGACCGCCCTTTTCACCTCTCTTTCATCGTTCCTTCACCTATAACAAACACGGTAGTGATATAATAACATCGAAGCTACCTTCGTGGATTTACTACTATTTATTCCACTTGATTATTATTATAATTAATCTTAAAAGACCATAGTTTGGCATATGGTTTAAAAATTAATCAACTTAGGACATGATTAAACTAATTATTAAATTTTTTTTGTATGGAGCTAAAATACAAGCTTTGTAAATATTTTAAATCGCAATAAACATAAATATTTTTAAGGCAATTTCTCGGCGAATTATAATTGGGCCTCGATGGGAACATTAATTGGGTCAAATGGATCCGTACCCGACAAAAGGCCCATTAGTAAACCTTTTAATGGGCCTCTCTTCGTTGCCCATGAGGCCCACAAACACGATACATGCGTGGGGTCCACGAACCGAAAAGTCAAAGACAAAAGTTTGAAAATCAAAGACTAGAGATGTCCCATTAAAAGAACTATGAAACAGTATTTATTTAAAATTTAATTATCTAATTAATGGAATTTAATTTATTTTAATTTTGTATTGAAATTTCTCTATCTTATTTTAAGAAAATAAAAATCAATTTGTTGACTAATGGACTCGTTGAAAATTAAAATTATGAGTTTAGAGGTTACATAAGTATTAAGTATTAATGAAAAATTCAATGGCTCTAATCCTTGTGGTTTAGAGATCTGGAAGCCTTGGAAGGGTACATTGGGCCCACATTAATTATGTTTAACATTTTTTAAATAAGATATAAATTAGATAGTAAAATAATTAATTCTTTTACATATTTTTAATTCTCGTACGTCCTTAATGTGGGAAATATTTTAATTCTTATACTTTAAAATGGAGTCGCGTGCTTCTTTCAAGGTTTTACCATAAATGTTTCGTTTTTCTCTCCAACTGATATGGGATCTCACAATAGATGTGTTTTAAAATCATGACAATACGTAACAGGCCAAAGCGAAAAATGTCTACTAGTAGTGGAGTTTGAGCTGTTACAAATGGTATCAGAGCCAATCATAAGTAGCCGGAGTAAAGCTAGACTCTCTCCATAGTAGACGTGTTTCAAAGTCTTGAGAAGAAACTCATAAGAAAAAGTCAAGAATAAGATAATATCTACTAGCGATAGCTTGGACTATCGTAGATGATATCAAAGACAGACATCAGACAATGTGTTAACGAGGATGTTTAGTCCCAAATTGGATGGATTGTGAGATCGCACATCGGTTGGAGAGGAAAATGAAACATTCATGCGTAACATACGCGTTTAAAAATAGTGAGAAGAAACCCAAAGAAGACAGTATTAAATGATATTGACGTGTCGGAATGAAATGGTTCGGTATGAGCTGCAAAAGTTAGAGTGGGTCCGTCCTTTTGGATAAGCCAATTGGGGTATGACACCATTTTGCTTCCCAATCACCCTACCACTCTTTTAATGTCTCCAACTTCCATCCCATGTGATTTGTTCTCTAATCATTTTCATCCCCTCAATCTTTCCCTATAACATGAATCAATACTATATATTTATACCCATTTATTTCACAATACTAAAGTTTAGACCTTAATTAATCATATATATTTTAATTTTAATTTCTTATCCCTATTTTATATTATTTATTTTAATTTTAAATATATATAGGGGTAGCCTTTGGGGAAACCAAAGGCCAATATTAATTTTTATTTACAAATAGATTTTTTTTTTTTTTGGTACTTCGAATATACACATAATTGCAACTAAAATAATATAATATTGACAATATGAATGTCAATATATTGTAAAATACTATGGTTTAATTAAGTTGTTAATTTTAAGCACGGGCCCACTTGATTTATTTTTTTTATTTTATTTTATAAAGAAAGGTTTGATTTACCTCTCTAGATTTTATATTATACTATTATTTAATTTATATAGTTCGTGACATTGACAAAATGCTAATACGATGCATACTTTTATTTTTTTTAAAATAATTAAATAAAAAATTAAAGTTGATTATTGAGAAGTCAATATGTCTTAATACCATTGTTCACTTTAACCGTAAAATAGCATAGATTTGTATTTAGTCTTACCTTGAAAAGTATCGTAATTGAAATAAATAAACGTAATATTTGTGACAGAAATTGAAGTTTACGAGACATTTTTTATTCTAGTAATTTCGTTAACTTTTTTGCATTAAATTTAAACTTAAAATTTTATAAAATAATTTTAGTTATTTTTTTATTTTAATTAACATAAACCCAACTCAAAATCAATTAAATAAAATATATATAAATTATAGAGCTTAAATGGGTTAATTTATACCATTTTAATTAATATAGTTTAAGAATATAAATTATTCTCTTTACTTTAATAAAAAATTAAAAAAATGAAGAGTTATTAAAAACATATAATAAAATTGGACAGCTGTCAATCCACCATCTTTAATTAATTACGGATTTCCCGCCTCTATTGGATTTGTCAACTTTTTCTTTCATCAAATCCCACTTCTGCATCCTTACCTTTATTTCCCCTTTTACGAATTTCCGATATGTCGTACGAAATGTTGTAGCCGGCAAATAGCCACCAACGACTCAATCAACAAATGTTCGTCAACAATTGCAGCTGAGCCGACGGATCGTTTCAAGGTTACCGCGTTTTTCAACGAATTTCAAAGCCTTTTTACCAAAGCTTCTAGATTTTTTCTTAGAAGTAATTTCAAGCTT